TGTAGAGTGAGTTCTAATTGATGCGAATGTTGTGTAGAGTGAGTTCTAATTGATGCGAATGTTGTGTAGAGTGAGTTCTAATTGATGCGAATGTTGTGTAGAGTGAGTTCTAATTGATGCGAATGTTGTGTAGAGTGAGTTCTAATTGATGCGAATGTTGTTGAGTGAGTTCTAATTGAAGCTAATGTTGTGTAGAGTGAGTTCTAATTGATGCGAATGTTGTGTAGAGTGAGTTCTAATTGATGCGAATGTTGTGTAGAGTGAGTTCTAATTGAAGCTAATGTTGTGTAGAGTGAGTTCTAATTGATGCTAATGTTGTGTAGAGTGAGTTCTAATTGAAGCTAATGTTGTGTAGAGTGAGTTCTAATTGAAGCGAATGTTGTGTAGAGTGAGTTCTTATTGAAGTGAATGTTGTGTAGAGTGAGTTCTAATTAAAGGAATGTTGTGTAGAGTGAGTTCTAATTGAAGCTAATGTTGTGTAGAGTGAGTTCTAATTAAAGGAATGTTGTGTAGAGTGAGTTCTTATTGAAGTGAATGTTGTGTAGAGTGAGTTCTAATTGAAGTGAATGTTGTCTAGAGTTAATGTATCGTTGAATTTAGCTCAGGTGGTTGCTGTTTTCACGCTAAATCGTTTCGTTACGTCGTTGCTATTTTTAGCGTCGAAGAGCTGCTGATAGCTTTAAGAGAGCTGAGCCGAAATGTGGATTTCAAGAAAGAGCTGGTCAAGAAGGACATCCTCGTGACCGTGAGGCGCGCGCTGACCAGCACAAAGGTGGCCGAGATAGAAGCGGCCCTCAAGCTGCTCGCCGTCCTGGCCTCGGACAAAGAGAACCACAAGAAGATCGAGGTAGGTGGCATTAGTGACATTAGAGGAATAACTGGTATTAATGACATAAGTGGCATAAGTGGAATTAGTGAACTTAAGGGCATAAGTGGAATTAGTGACATTTGGGCCTGAGCTGGTTTAAGGGGCATAAGTGGCATTAGTGACATTAGTGGCATTAGGGGCATTTGTGACATTAAGGGCATAAGTGGCATTAGTGACATTAGGGGCATACGTGGCATTAGTGACATTAAGGGCATAAGCGGCATTAGTGACATTAGGGTCATAAGTTGCATCAGTGACATTAGGGGCATAAGCGGCATTAGTGACATTAGGGGCATAAGTGGCATTAGTGACATTAGGGGCATAAGTTGCATCAGTGACATTAGGGGCATAAGTTGAATCAGTGACATTAGGGGCATAAGCGGCATCAGTGACATTAGGGGCATAAGTGGCATTAGTGACATTAGGGGCATAAGTTGCATCAGTGACATTAGGGGCATAAGCGGCATTAGTGACATCAGGGACATAAGCGGCATTAGTGACATTAGGGGCATAAGTTGCATCAGTGACATTAGGGGCATAAGTGGCATCAGTGACATTAGGGGCATACGTTGCATCAGTGACATTTGTAGCGGAGTGTATTCTCCGTGCGCCCGGGGCCAGTCCCAAAACAAGGTCACTGCCTCGCATTCCATAAAATCCCGGAAATGACTTTATCCACAATCCTTATCCAATATCCACAATCCTTATCCAATGTTTAAGTGAATGGTGTGATTGTAAGGTGTATTTCTAGAACAATTTTACACATTTCTGTTGACTGAATGTGTTGAACAAATGAGGATGTCTTTAAACCATGTTTGCACAACATACGGCCCGCGGGCCGCATGTGGCCCGCCAGCACCCACTTTGTGGCCCGCGAGGTAACGAAAAACTCTTTATTCTTATTATTTTCTTTATAGCTCCCCCCCTGACCTATATTCTTTTGGCCCGCGTGAGTCCTGTACTATTTTCTTTTGGCCCGCACAAGTTTTTCACAATGTATTACGGCCTGCCTTACATTTTAAGTTGTGCATGTCTGCTTTCAACTGTGGATGGTTTACGTCACTGACGCATATCTCCCTAGGAAGACGAGGAATTGATGAAGCTGGTCACTGACCTGTCGCGTCACACAAATGCCGGCATCGCCAACAACGCCAAGCAGGTCTTGTGGGAGCTCTACAAAGGTGGGTCGTCGGGTGCCCCGTTTGTTATCGGTCGACAAAGTGGCGTAGCTAGGGTTAATGTCACCCCCGGTGTGTTCCGCACCCCCAGACCCGTCTGGCTACGCCACTCGGTCGACGTGTTGAGTAAACTGTGACGTGCTCATTTAGCGATTCACTTTAATTCCTATAAGAAGCTGTGTATTGGGTGGTGGCTAGAATTTAGCTTGTCCTGTGCAATGATGGGAAAATAAAGGGTTATAACGGTTTTTAAAAAGTGTTTGACGAAGAATTGCTCTCTGATCAAGAAAGACCATGTATACAATGAAGTGTATGAATATGAATTATAAAATAAAACTTAACAACACCCCCCCCCCCCACACACAAAAAAAAAACATGCAAAAAAATATATAATAATAATACTATTAAAAAATATAACTTTTAAATGTTTCGCCAGGGAACAAAAAATCAATCAGTTTAAGTCTTTCCCTTCTGATGTGATTGTAAAATCATGCGGCTCCAAGATTCACTATAATCAATACAGTCATTCATTATTTTGTTGTCTTTTATTTATAAGTGTCTATTTTCTGGTGCAACTAATTTATCTCTACGTTTTGCCCTTTTCGACAGATCGAGCTCAAGCCCAAGGTAAGGCGTGATACCGTTAAGCTAAATGTTATTTTATAAAAGGTAAGAGGCACCTTTCGGCATTTATAAGTTAATGGGATAATTACAGAGCACGCAATCTCTAAACGGGTAAGGTTTTTTTTTTTGTGTGTGCAAAAAAACCTGTTAATATGAGAGTTGCATGAAGAAGCTTGTTAATGTCAACTGTCACATTTCCATGTCACCCCTTGTGTCTGCAGGGACCAAACTCGTGCGAGAGGTTGTGATCAAACAGCACATCATGATGAGTTACAACTCCAAACATCGGGACAGTGTCATCAAGGTTGGATTAGAATAACTTAGATTGATATTCGACGAAGTCGTAATTTAGTTGCAAACATTTTCCACTCTAACATGTTCCACTCTAACATGTTCCACTCTAACATGTTCCACTCTAACATGTTCCACTTTAACATGTTCCACTCTAACCATGTTACACTCTAACCATGTTCCACTCTAACATGTTCCACTGTAACATGTTCCACTCTAACATGTTCCACTCTAACATGTTCCACTCTAACATGTTATTCTCTCTTTTTTTTTTGTGGCATCCGTCCGTCATGATGTGATGATGGTGTAGACTTCGCGGGACGAAATCACGAGGCCTGGGAGATAAACTGGTTCCCTAGAAACAGCATGTGTGGATGATACAGCTTAGCTCCAGTAGCGTCGTAGGAGAGACCGCAATGTTCATTGAGTTAATATCATACCGCCGACGGGACTCAGTCTTCGGTTTTATTTTCAGAGTTTGCCTTCTCTTAGATAAGCTGCCATCGAAGGTCAAAGAGTCTCATCCAACCGGGATTCTGGTGATGTTTTTGCTTGTCCAGGCTTTTGAACTCTATTCCACAAAAATGTGGAATTGACGTTATTTAGACGGCGCAGCCATACAGCTACCACTCTTAACATGTTCCACAGTAAAATGTTGCATTCTAACATCTTTGACGCAAGGATTTCCCTATCTAGCTTGTTCCTCTCTCAAATGTTCAACTCTAAAATAGAACAACTGTGTTGTCTTTTATCTCAGGTTCGGACAGCTTTAGATGGGAAAAATTACAAAACTTGGATGGACGTGTCTGACATGAGGGGGTCTTCTTTAGAGAAAATGTCGGAGGCAGTAGAGAACGCTGCAGCCGTGTTGATCTGCATGTCCCCCCACTACAAGGAGAGTCCATATTGTAAACTGGGTGAGTCTGGTGGCCGTGTTGATATGTATGTCACCCAACTACAAGGAGAGTCCATATTGTAAACTGGGTGAGTCTGGTGGCCGTGTTGATATGTAAGTCACCCAACTAAAAGGAGAGTCCATATTGTAAACTGGGTGAGTCTGGTGGCCGTGTTGATATGTATGTCACCCAAATAAAAGGAGAGTCCATATTGTAAACTGGGTGAGTCTGGTGGCCGTGTTGATATGTATGTCACCCAACTACAAGGAGCGTCCATATTGTAAACTGGGTGAGTCTGGTGGCCGTGTTGATATGTATGTCACCCAACTACAAGGAGAGTCCATATTGTAAACTGGGTGAGTCTGGTGGCCGTGTTGATACGTATGTCACCCAACTAAAAGGAGAGTCCATATTGTAAACTGGGTGAGTCTGGTGGCCGTGTTGATATGTATGTCACCCAACTACAAGGAGAGTCCATATTGTAAACTGGGTGAGTCTGGTGGCCGTGTTGATACGTATGTCACCCAACTACAAGGAGAGTCCATATTGTAAACTGGGTGAGTCTGGTGGCCGTGTTGATATGTATGTCACCCAACTACAAGGAGAGTCCATATTGTAAACTGGGTGAGTCTGGTGGCCGTGTTGATATGTATGTCACCCAACTACAAGGAGAGTCCATATTGTAAACTGGGTGAGTCTGGTGGCCGTGTTGATATGTATGTCACCCAACTACAAGGAGAGTCCATATTGTAAACTGGGTGAGTCTGGTGGCCGTGTTGATACGTATGTCACCCAACTACAAGGAGAGTCCATATTGTAAACTGGGTGAGTCTGGTGGCCGTGTTGATATGTATGTCACCCAACTACAAGGAGAGTCCATATTGTAAACTGGGTGAGTCTGGTGGCCGTGTTGATCTGCATGTCCCCCCACTACAAGGAGAGTCCATATTGTAAACTGGGTGAGTCTGGTGGCCGTGTTGATATGTATGTCACCCAACTACAAGGTGTGTAGTTTTACCCAGGTATTAGGAGACTCCATGTTGTTGGGATTTCAAGGTGAGGGCTTATGGATGAGTTTGTTCCCCAGATGTAATGTGTTTGTCAACCGGTTCTAATGTGTTGGTCACCCAGCTATAATATGTTGGTCAACCGGTTCTAATGTGTTAGTCACCCAGCTGTTACATGTTTTTGTCACCCAGCTGTAATGTTTTGGTGACCCAGCTGTAATTTGAGTTATTGTTGCCATGGTTTCAGTTTAGCATCGCTGTATTGATCACTCATGTTTATATTCTCAAAGAATTCAGACACATGTGAACAACAGTTGCGGATCTACCTATGATCCAATAGATGTATGGCCCACACGATGACCGCTACCCACAACGGAATTTTTTGTTTGTTATTGTCCTATTTAATCCCCACCCATATCATGACCTATTTAATCCCCACCCATATCATGACCTATTTAATTCCCACCCATATCATGACCTATTTAATCCCCACCCATATCATGACCTATTTTAGCTCCCACCATATCATGACCTATTTTAGCTCCCACCATATCATTGACCTATTTCAACTCTCAATCATATCATGACCTATTTTAACTCCAACCCTTATCATGTTATATTCAACAGAAGCTGAGTACGCATTCATGCAGAAAGTGCCAACCATATTCCTTCTCATGGAGGCTGGCTACCAACCCGACGGCTGGCTGGGACTTTTATTGGGGGCCAAAATATTTTACGACTTTTCCGGTAATTGCAACTCGTCATGTAACTCTGTAACTGATCTTGTAACTCATCGTGTAACCTTGTAACTGATCGCGTAACATATCATGTAATCTTATAACAGATCATGTAACTTATCTTGTAACATTGTAACTCATTGTGTAACGTTGCAACTTTGATCAACTGGAGATATTCAGAGAATTCTATTTTATTGTAAATCAATTTTGTGTTGGTTACTGAACATCTCAATATGTTCCTTGTCATAAAATGTTTTCATGGCTCGCTTTCCAGGAAAGTATGACTTTAATTTGAAGCTGTCCGAGATGATGAAGGAAATCGAAGAAACGTGCGGTGAACACATCCCGGTATGCATTCGATAGATTCTACTTGATAGATTCTACTTGATAGATTCTACTTGATAGATTCTACTTACAACCGTTAAACCCAAATCTAATGTTAAATTTATATTTTATTTAAAACTGAATCCAACAATAACTCTAGTTGTACTTAGTTAAGTTCCAACTTTCGGCTCAGAGTCAACAAATGATGTATCTCTAAACATGGCTGCACTGTTGTTGACCGCAAATAAGCTTTATTATTATTAATTATTCTTGAATAAACCGGAAAAGTTTGGGGAATCTGTTTTAACCCTTTCCAATTTGAAATTTTCCCAAACGTATCTCCATTTTAGTAAATTGTGGACACATTTCATTATGATAAATCATTAGCTCCTCATAGATTTATTTGTATAACAAACAGTTATGTTCAGAAACATTACGCACGATATGAAATTAACACAGCGGATATTTTTTTTTTAAATTTATTGAAATGCAATCAACGTTAAACATAATCTATGACTTATTATTTCACTCACTCAATTCACTCACCACGTTTGACCCCCAAATAGGAAATGAAATCTTGGGGCGCATTCAGTGGAATTAAGCTGTTGATTTGGACGTAAGATATCCATCGATGCCGCCGCAATCCATCATATCTCACTCCCTATTGGAACAGATCAATGAGTTTATTTAGGAATAGGTGATCAAGGAGTCAACAAAACTGTAATAGATCACATTGTCCTCTTCACCTCATCTGTTCACTTCTGCTTATTGGGAGCTGGCGAAACGTTCAATACTCTTTGAACAGCTTCTGACTCAGATTACTCATTGATAAGAAAAGTTATTTTTTTAAATAGATTTTTTTGTTAATAACATTGCTATTCGGAGCAATTTTTTTTATTCATCACGCAGCAGTTAATCTTCTCAATTAATTATAGGCTAACATTCATCTGTAGTGACATATAGGTGCTAACATTCATCTGTAGTGACATATAGGTGCTAACATTCATCTGTACTGACATATAGGTGGTAACATTCATCTGTAGTGACATATAGGTGCTAACATTCAACTGTAGCGACATATAGGTGCTAACATTCATCTGTAGTGACATATAGGTGCTAACATTCATCTGTAGTGACATATAGGTGCTAACATTCAACTGTAGCGACATATAGGTGCTAACATTCAACTGTAGTGACATATAGGTGCTAACATTCAACTGTAGCGACATATAGGTGCTAACATCCATCTGTAGTGACATATAAGTGCTAACATTCAACTGTAGCGTTATATAGGTGCTAACATTTATCTGTAGTGACATATAGGTGCTAACATTCAACTGTAGCGACATATAGGTGCTAACATTCAACTGTAGCGACATATAGGTGCTAACATTCAACTGTAGTGACATATAGGTGCTAACATGCAACTGTAGTGACATATAGGTGCTAACATTCAACTGTAGTGACATATAGGTGCTAACATTCAGCTGAAGTGACATATAGGTGCTAACATTCAACTGTAGTGACATATAGGTGCTAACACTCAGCTGAAGTTGCATGTAGGTGCTAAAATTCAGCTTTAGTGACATGTAAGTGCTAAAAATTATTTATTTTTTTTAAATGTCCAACAGAGACAAACCTCCCCACCCGCCAAACCTGTCAAGGCCCCAGATGTCAAACCAGCCCAGCCCCAACCTGTGTTGACCTCTGAACCTGTCCAGCAGGCTGTCGTGGTCAAGAAGACAACGAAGGATCCGTTGGGACAGATTATAGAGAAGGTTAGACCAGTCTTGATGCTCACTGATGTAAGGAAAGGTCAGACCTGTCTTGGTGCTCTTTGATGTAATAAAAAATCAGACTATTCTTGGTGCTTACTGATGTAAGGCAAGGTCAGACCAGTCTTGGTGTTATCATAAATGTGCTAGTAGTTTATGGATAAACGCCAATAAAAATATTTTTTTCCAGAGCCCTTATGATTTAAAACTAATGTTTAGTATATATTCCCTGTACTTCGCTTCAGCTTTCATAGGTGTTTAATACTTACTTTCCAACAGTCTTTTTAGCTTTCATCAGCATCTACTATCTACACTCCACACCATTCTTTCAAACTTTTTTTAAAATAAAGCTTTCTCGCTTTAATGTGGACAGACGATGCAGGCGGATGCAGCAGAAGGCAATAAGATGGAGACCTCAAATCTAGAAAGGACGGTCATTGTTCTAGATGAGGTCCCCGAGACGCCTGACACAAACAATGACCAACCCAAACTGGCCACAGTTGCAAACACCGTCAAAGTAAGACATGTTTACGAATCTGTAGTATAATGTTTGTCCTAGTTCCGATAGACCTATCATTGTTTAGCTTTCTGCTTCGTTATCCCAAAGAATCTCTTTCGCTTTATTAAAGGGCACCTCGTCTATTGAAGATAGAAGGCGTCATCGTGTTTACTCCTATATGAGTATTACAACATGACAGACATGAAATCAGGAGGTCGGAAAGCTACGGCCCGCGGGCCAAATCTGTCCCGTTGCTTCTTTCTTTGCGCCCCCCACCCCGCTTCTTTTATTTCGTGTCAACGCATGACACCAGAAGAAGTCTGCGGAGCTCTTCTGTGAACGGTCATTTCCACGACGTACTTTCGTTGACAACGAAATAGTGAACTGTTGTAACGTAGAACTTATTCGACTGAGATCCAATTGTTAAATTAAATATTTGATGATATAGCAAAACGAGGTAATGTAGAAGCTTGAATTTGAGAACAGGAGCACAGTAAACAACTCAAGCTATTTCTTGAGTTATTTGTCATATTTTCATTTGTCCTGTGCGCTGAAGAAGGCTATATGCCGAAACGTCCTAATCTTTTTGTCCTGTTCTCAAATTCAAGCTTCCACAGACCTAGATTTGCCATTTCATTTACTAGGCTTGAGTGCAGTCCTTTTGTTATTAAATATTTTACCATGATATTCCCTTTGTAATTTTTTATCATGTCGCATTGTGAGCAAGTTTATTGCTGAGAATTGCGTCTTGTTTCATAATGCTGCTACCTTTACGTCTTGTTTCATAATGCTGCTACCTTTACGTTTTGTGTCTTAATGCTGCTACCTTTACGTCCATGCAGAAGGCCAACAAAACAGTTGCATTCATGAGTCGTCCAGCTACGTCGGGTGCCAGGAGCAAGGAGAATAACCCAAAGTAAGTCATCATTTCAACACCTTGCACTACCTTACTTTTACTCTGTGCACCAGATCTTCAAGTGTTGTTAGAATCACTTGTGCTTTAGTCATCATCGAGCACTTCCCATCCTGTCACTACGAGGAATCAAAACGTGAGATTGTCTACTGCAGTCATCTATGACGTAATTCGACACATTATCTCATCTCACGAAAGAAAATTGTCAAAACAAAAAACCAAGATACAGTTGTTCATTGACCTTGTCTACCTGTAGATGTATTTAATTGGGGGGGGGGTGGAATACACGATCAAAGCAACTATCGGTCACCTATTATTTCCTTTGCACAGATCTGCCCTCGTTCCATTCATCGCCGAAGAACAGCGGAGATTTCTCTCAGAGATTACCCCAATAGTAAGTACAATTAAGACTTATCTCTGTAGGCGAACGTTCAATGTAAGCACTAACCCGGAAGAAGGCTATCGCAGCAAGAACTATTGGTTTTATTCATAGTTTAGTTGTGTTAGATTTCTTTTTTAATTTGACAAGATAAAGCGTTGTGCATGGATATGGACAGCTGCATGGATATGGACAGCGTTAAATATCAATCTTTTACAGTGCACCGAGGGATTAAAGTCTTTGTTGTAGCTTTTAAGGTGGAACTTAATATGTAATAACCCCTGTAAAAGTTTGTAGGATGTAACTGAATTGATTTTTTTTTCAATCGATTTCAGTACGTATGTAAATACAACCCAAACGTTTAACTTAATCTTTCTTTAATCAAATTTATCAAATTTAACATCGATTGATCGATCGCGATCGATCGATCAATCCATCTATCCATCTAGCCAACCATCCATCAATCCATCAATCCAACGAACCATCCATCCTTCCATCCATCCATCAATCAATCAGTCAATCCATACAACGATCCATCGATCGATCCATCCATCCATGCTTCGATCCATCCATCCTTCCATGCATCCATCGATCTATTCATCCATCCACCAATCAATCCATCCAACAATTCATCGATCTATTTATCTATCCCCCCCGCCTACTCCCCCCACCCACCCGTCTGTATGTTTGTCTTTCTCTCTCTAAATCACACACACACTCTTCTAATCTTCTACCAACTATGTTGCCCCACTCTGGTTCCAGCTATGTTGCCCCACTCTTCTACCAGCTATGTTGCCCCATTTTTCTACCAGCTATGTTGCCCCACTCTTCTACCACGTAGACACAGTTGTTAATTTTTTTTTTTTAAATGTTTGTTAACTTTTTAAAACTGAGTCCTCCGAGAATGCAAGAATTTTTTTTTGTTAAATCCAGAAAGCAAACAAAGAACTATTTTCCTTCAGTGTACTGCATTTATTTTACTTCAGGACCTTCATAATAGGGTTAGAAATACCCACAGTAAATTTCAGGTCAATCCAACAAAAATTGTTTAGAATGTCATATTTTGAAATTAGATGACAATGTCGAAAAATGAAGTTTCCGGGGAAATTGAAGAGAACGTTAATTACACTTATTTCCAGTAAAAAATAATGTCGAATATCCTCCAGGAGTGTACATATTCCTTTCTCTAGCTTCTGTGAGGTCTAAAAAGGCTTTTCTGGTGGCTCTCAGTCTTTTCCTTCTCTTCTGGATTGTTTCAGGGGCCTTAACGGTAGACGAATTTAGTCGAATCTTTTCCTTGGCTATGCAGCTTTTCTCGGTGAAATATCCACGCTTGATCCCAAAGTGTTTAAAAAAATTTAATATAGAAGAAGTTCTATCTTTAAAATATGACACAGCACTATAGACTGACTCCTCCACTGTTCTTTCGTTCAACAAAATACTCGTTTGAACAACGATCCCATGTGAACTTATTTAATCATTCGTTGTTGTTTGTGACTCTTGCCGTGAAGACATTCACTGAGCAACTAACTGCTCGTTGGTTAGTTTCTTCTTATTATTATTATTAGGTCGTTTTTATAACACAGTACCCCAGCCTAGTGCTAGGCTCACTGCGCTTCATAAAAAAATTAGCACTTACAGAAACGTAAACATTTAAAAACAAGAATTGGCTCAATGACGTGTATAACTGCTTCAGGGAGGTCATATTTTTACCTGTATTTGTCAGGATGAAGCTTATATTTGCACCTGGAATTGCTAGGGGAAAATGTAAGATTAGATGACTTATCAGAAGAGCCGACATGATGTAGATCAGCTTTTACATCAGCCTTAATTTGAGCCCAATTAGGGGACGTCCATAAAGTACGTCATGCTATTTTTGACCATTTTTACCCCCCCCCCCGCTTCCCCCGTCACAAACTGTCACAAATCTCGGACCCCCCCCCCCCACCCCCCAAAAAAAATCACACTTTCGAAAAATTTTGTTTTTAAAAATGGACACCTAATTAAAATTTAATCTAAAACACACTTCACTATTAACTGTATTAAAATATATAATTTCCACTGAAAAGAACTATCACATAATTAAAATCACTTTAATAGTAGAATAGTTCATTGTCAACAGCTGTCACAGTTATTCATTGAAGCAGTAACTCAATCTAGATTGAATTTGAAAACAAAAATTGCAAAAATTAGACTAGAGAATTATATAATACACCTCATTTATCTGCTGCTTTTTCCTTTACAATATGTAAGGTCAAGTTTTAGATAATCTTCCGATTATGCAATCTTTTTACACAGGATAAGAAGTAGATTAGCGAAACTTGACCTCACCCAGTGATTAAATAATACAAAGGACAGTGACATAATTATGCAGCGGACATCATAGAAATAATAATACTTCCGGCATGACGAAAGCAAGGCTATACATAAAACAAGGCTTCCCAACAGCATACTAGCGCTCCTAGCGAGAGGAATCGTGAACAACTTTGTACCACGCTTCGAGCTTTTGGGGATGAACCGTGTTTTTCAAAAAAACTTTATTATTATTATTTTCACATAAAACTAATTCAAATGTTTCCCAAAATTTTTGAAAATTTGTTTTAAAGCTATTAAATTCTGCTTGAAAAATAAATTAGAAATAAAAAAAAAAATTAAAATAAATGTGTGACGTCACACATGGTCTGACCCCCCCTCCCCCTGCCACAAACTGGTCACACTTTCTTAACCTCCTCCCCCCACCACCCCCCGAGCGTGACGTATTTTATGGACGGCCCCTTATCTGCATTCTGCCGGATGCTGAAACCAAAATAATTTTGAAGTGTGTCAGTCTTCTTGAACAGTTGACCTAATCCAGTGGTTCTCAACCTTTCTAGTGCCGCGACCCTTTAATACAGTTTATCTTGTCGTGGCGACCCCCTGCCACACAATTATTTTCGTTCTTACTTCATAGCTGTAAGGATATTGTGTTTTCAGATGGTCTTAGGCGACCCCCTGGGAAAGGGGGGTCGCGACCCACAGGTTGAGAACCGCTGAATTATTAATTATGCTCTTGAAGTTTAATTTTTTGGGGTTTATCAGCCTCGATAACAGGTCGTTCATCTTTTTGAACACTGTCATCAACTGATCTAGTATATTTATTGCCACAAAACTTTCGTTTTAATGGTCGAATACTTCCGGTTAGACTTTTTTTTTTGTTACCCGTGTTTAAAAGAAACAAGCAGAAACTAGAAATAAACTTATTACTTGAATCAAATTATAGTTCTCAGATAAATCACACAGTGAAAGTAATCATATGTTAGAATAAGACTTTTTTTTAAAATTACACCAATTGCACAGGTTAATAAATGTAAACCAAACATATAGAGTTATCTCTCTCAATTAATTTGTATACTTGTTTCCTCTCTGGTTAGTTTATAATTAATTCGCTTTTTAATTTAAAATGTTTAGAATGTGATTGGTTCATAGAGTCGTGGTAACCAATTGTAAATAATGATTGCTATGGAAAATGCATTGCGAGTGGGGTATATCAACATGCAAAAAATTAATCTAACTTTTCACATTTTTTGTTAAATGACAAGCTCAATTAGTGGACAAATGCATCATCTTTCTAAATATGCACTCAAATAAAGTTGACAAATTTCATAATTTTATAACAATTTTGGGGGCTCTTCTACATTGCTTTTGACATATACAAATTAATTCTAATGGAAAATTACATTTGAAGGGCAATAACAGGGATAATTTGAAATCAGAATAGTGAAAGCATTATTACCTAACTTGAAATTGATTATGCTTTATAGATTTTCTGGATGTTTAGTTGCGCTTTTAGAGTGGGGGTAACTATTTCAGTAACCGACCAGTCAAAGTGGTTAACTAAAATAACTAAAGGGAAAGATAATAGTCACGCTATACTCATTACGCAACTGAAACATTATATGCAGCTTATTTTCATAACTAACATTCATATTCTGGAGGAGGGTTAATTTTACCCTCCTAAGAGCCCCGGCTGGTACTGTGGCAACCTAATCCACCTGTTGGTGTCTTTCATATAACATCCTCTGAACGAAGGACTCTCCCACCGCTCTGGCCTCCCCAACACCACCCTGACCTCCTCAACGTCACCCTGGCCTCCCCAACGCCACCCTGGCCTCCCAGCACCAATCTGGCCTCCCCAACGCCACCCTGGTCTCCCAGCACCTCTCTGGCCTCCCCAATTCCACCCTGGCCTCCCAGAACTACTCTGGCCTCCTCAACGCCACCCTGGCCTCCCAGCACCCCTCTGGCCTCCCCAACGCCACCCTGATCTCCCAGCCCCTCTCTGGCCCCCCCAATTCCACCCTGGCCTCCCAGCACCCCTCTGGCCTCCCCAACGCCACCCTGATCTCCCAGCACCTCTCTGGCCTCCCCAATTCCACCCTGGCCTCCCAGCACCACCCTGGCCTCCCCAACGCACCCTGGCCTCCCCAGTTCCTACTCTGGCCTCCCCAACGCTACCCTGGCCTCCCAGCACCACTCTGGCCTCCCCAGCGCCACTCTGGCCTCCACAGCGTCGAACTTGAGGCTCGAAGTCAGTATGTGTTTTTGTCCAGCTTGTTAAAGTAAGAGTTAGTTGCGCAATGTTCCGTCCACATTTGGGTCACCGTACTCTGGTGTCGGATACCCAGTTTCCACTAGGGTTCCGTTCTGCTAGATCTGGCATATTGGCGTGTTCACCAATGGCTTTCGTACTGTCTGCCGACTGTCCGTACCACTTTTGTACTAAGTCAGCCAGTTTCCTTAGTGACTTCTGCTTCTGGCTGGGGCTGGGAATCCCCGGAACCCATTGCCCTTTTACCTTACCTCCGATTCTCGCTGTCTTAGCCACGTTATGCATGATGGAGTCAAAGAAATGGGTTTAACCGATAGGTACTCCCGTATTCAAGAGCTTAAGAGCAGATCTTGATTTGGAGAAAAATACCACGTGGAGTCTCACAAGATCCCACTCTTAAAGCGTACTTTTGCACACTGCCTTAGTGCCTCGTGTATAGCATCCAGCTCTGCGTGTAGAAGTTCGACGCTGTGGTCCCACGGGGCCCTGAAATTCCCTTTTACTCATTTGACTGCTAAAACTACAATTGCTGAAATTCTTATTTCTAATTCCATTCCTCCATTTTTTTGGTTCAACAGTAGGACCACTTAGCCTAACATAGGACCTAGGACACTTTTCCTTAGGACCCTTTACCCTAAAATCCCTCAAACCCAGGACCTCTAACCCTTGGATCCCTCGTCCCAAGGTCATCAAACGACTCATTGCAATCATTCTACTCTTGCATAAATTAATATTTTTACCGACTCTTCCAGGCCTCCAACTACCACTATAAGTTTCTGATGTCCGGCAAAGTGACCACCGACAGCCTAAAGATACAGGACAGTGTGGAGATTTCCCTGGACAGCCAGTACTGCAACCGCCATGGCATCTACGGATGTGTCAAATGTGGACTCAGTAAAGTTACGCCGTACGCCATACAACAGTCCGGCAAAAGGAGAAAATCCGTCCGTTGATAGTTTCCCAAAACACATCACTTAATACTGACCCACTTATCATCACCTGATAAGTGTAGATATATATATATATTGATTATTTTATGTTCTGTTGAAAATGTTAATAATAAACTTAGCTATTTGCTAAAATTACATAAAAAATGTATCTTTTTTAATGTTAATAACATTTAAGTAAATTGTAATATTGTACGTCAAAATTCAACTTGTGCTAGTGATGTCTAAACCGACAGTGGATTAGTTTCATTTCCGATATATTTTTAAAATCCTTTCTATTATTACTGATTTATCAGAAACCGCCTTTGATTTTATTTACCTGTGTCAATACCAGTCAACTTTATTTATGAACTATAAAATAGCACGAAGTACACTGCTACCTGTATTTCATTATAATTCATACCAAAGAACTACACTGCTACCAGTAATTCGAACCAATGAAGCACACTCCTACCAGTTATTCGAACCATTGAAGTACACTGCTACCAGTAATTCGAACCAATGAAGCACACTGCTACCAGTAATTCGAACCAATGAAGTACACTGCTACCAGTAATTCGAACCAATGAAGCACACTGCTACCAGTAATTCGAACCAATGAAGCACACTGCTACCAGTAATTCGAACCAATGAAGTACACTGCTACCAGTAATTCAAACCAATGAAGTACACTGCTACCAGTAATTCGAACCAAAGAACTACAATGCTACCAGTAATTCGAACCAAACATCTTCACTGTGTTCCGTTTTAAAGCACGGGAACACTGGGCACAACCTCACAGCCTCACGCCTTTAGGGGATCTTACGCCTCTATGGGACCTCATGCCTCTATGGGACCTCATGCCTCTATGGGACCTCATGCCTCTATGGGACCTCACGCCTCTATGGGACCTCATGCCTCTATGGGACCTCATGCCTCTATGGGACCTCATGCCTCATGATGGGATCTTGTGTGATGTGATATAACCCCTCTGAGATGGTGTCATCTTGTGCGATTTCATGTCACCTCTCTGAGATGGTGTCATCTGTGCGATTTGATGTAACCCCTTTGAGATGGTGTCATCAATGGGACCTCATGCCTCTATGGGACCTCATGCCTCTATGGGACCTCATGCCTCTATGGGACCTCATGCCTCTATGGGACCTCATGCCTCTATGGGACCTCATGCCTCTATGGGACCTCATGCCTCTAGGGGAATTTATGCTGCGAAAATTTTTAATGAATATTGAAATATTGTTTGGCAATTCAATTTGCCTTCATAATGCTTTCATAACGGAAGACCGTGTAGACCGTTTCTCCAGTTTTTTAGAACACGTTTTTTAATTTTCACATTTTAACAATTTTTGTTCTAGTTTAAGAAAAAGTTGCTTTCGGTAAATTATCAGTTTGTTGTTTTTTAAAATTATTTTTGGTTTTTGGGAGTTGACTGGAAGGAAACTAGCAAAATGCCCCATAATTTTTTTTAGCAATTTAAAAAAAATAAATAATAGTAGTTATAAATTCAAAATTAGTTTTTTTACGTTACTGCATTTGTTTTGTTTAGAAATATATCCTGCATCATCTTCCCTCGGATTAATCACATGTTAAAAAATAGATGACGACTTTCGTAAATATGTTCTACCTTTTTTCATACCATCTATATAAAATTTATTTTAAAATGGACATGTTTTAAAAAACCATTTAAAATCTCTAGACCTTTTCTTCAATACAGTATTTTTTTACTCTTTTTTTTTTTTTTTTTTTTTTTGTAACTGTAAATTTTGGAAAAAACAACTTCAGTCTGAAATAAATGCACACTGGTAATTAGTATGCTAAATAGTTTGTTGTTTTTTTTCAAACGAACTAATGTTTTTAACGGAAATATTTTCACAGAGTTCATTCATTGATGAAGTAGTTTAAAGAAACAAGTTGTTTCCAAATAAAATTATGCAACAGTACTATTTTGATGAAACTAAAAATAAAAAGGAATTGCATAACCCATGCTTGATGGGATAAGGTCAAGGGAACCTAACCTTCAACCTAGCATCTTTTCTGTTGTAAGCCCATTAAGTGAACAATGATGCAAAACTAAATTTATGTATGTCTCCAAAGTGCACCCCATCATTTTGAATTTATGAAAAATTGTATGGGGCGGGTCTTACTAAGATCCACACCCCTTCCCACCCCCACCCCCCACCCCCCAAACAAGACCTTACCACCAGTTTCTCCAGGCGCACTTGATCTCCTCTCCCACCCCAATTTAATTGACATTACCGATACATTTCAATCTCCGAACGGAAAAATTATACATTTTCCTTTAATGTGGTACACTTAATAGGACTGTATAAGCAAGGTTCACAAACTCTTGCTATTCCACTTTTTTTTTTCCATTGGCGCCTACTGTTTTCACTAGATTCGGGAAAATAAAACCGTTTTTAAGTCCGACAAAACAGCGATTATTTTGTGTACCTCATGCATCAGATTGTATCAGAAAGTATCCAGTTAACGTGATTTTCTGGTCAACGCATCAGCGTGTACATCGATTCGTTTAGAGAAACGAATTCACCCGCCAAAAATATAGTTTCTGAGCCAGGCTAAAATTAAAATTATGTACAAAATGTACATTTCTATTTGAAGCAAATAGTTATTATGGTCAATGATACAACATTTTGAGTGTAAATTGTGGCTTCCAACCCTGTCGTAGATGCAATCACTATAAAATTGACACACTGACCCCTGGTTAGCTGTCAGAGGCCCCTGATGGTTTAAAGATTTAACAGATTTCGACCCAAAGAAGAACGAAACTAACACTTGAGAGAAAGGGGTCCTGTTGAATTTCTCAATAAAAGATATGTGTTTGTGGGCCTATGTGTGCGTGTGTGTTCATACATACATATATTATAGATATATATATATATATATATATATATATATATATATATATATATATATATATATATATATATATATATATATATGTATGTATTTCTTCACATAATTTAAATACTTCAATGACTAAGATATTATAATCACTATCACATGTTTCCAATACATAACAATTTTCGACAATTCCTTGCGAGATCATGTGTGTTATCCTTTCCAACATATAAAAAGGAAATGTGAAGTCCTTCAATGAATTAGCTCGTGGTATTACTTCATGCAGTTATTTGTTGTTTCTGAAATGGCAAAAAAAACCAGCTGAGTTGACATTGTTGGTCCTGCGGAGGCACGCGAAAATGAACGAGGCAATTTGCTTTGACTTGATTTGTATTTTGTTTTAAAGTCTCACTCTCTCTCGTCTTTCCCTTTTTGATCCCATGGCGAAAATGAGTCGAGACGCATGGGAAATTGACCAGGGTGCAGTAGACGACCAGCAGTGTGTAAGTGTGTTTCACTGTGCTCTTCATGCGAAGCCCGTCGCAGGAGTAGACGGAACGTTCATCGTGCCAATGCCATACCGCCTACGGGACTCCATCCCCGGGTTGGATGACAGAGTTTGCCTTCTCCTACACGAGAGGGGTTTTTCCTTGTTTCTCTTCCCCTGTGAACTAAGCTCGAGTCCACAAGCTTGGGATTGTCTCAGGTTAGACCACTCGAGCACCAAGCACCCGGCCAATTCTTGATTCCCCTCTAGCATCAGATAAGGATTTTAACCATAGTTTCTTTTTTTTTTTTAGAATAATTTTTCCAACGATTTATTGAAGCAGAGAAAAAGACGAAAGTCTGCTGAATTAATGAAAAAAAAATGATGTTGCAGCTACAGTGGATTTGACTCTTTTTCAGTCACGTGACATATGAAAAGGTGATGAAAGGAAGGGGGGGGGGGGGGCGCCAAGGTTGTCTTTTTTTGTTCTTTATTTGGAGGGGCGGTATTTTCGGCCAACTGCTGAGGGTTTTTTTTTGTCTTCTTTTTTTGTAGAGGAGGGGTGGCACAACGTGGCCCGCCCCGGCTAACCCTGGCTACGCCAGTTTCGCCAACCAACAAGATTTAATGACAACTACGTGGAACAAAAATATTTAATAGGATTTACATCAATGGTTCTTCTAAAAAAAGACCAAATGCTGACACTACATCGGCATTAAGTACCTCAGCTGATGTAAAAAGAGACCCACTTTGTTTTATTTCAAATATTAATAATAAATAATAAAATTTAATGTTTTCGAAATATAGATTCTAGTGCTTAAAAATTTGACTTCAATAGAATTTTTTTTTCAAAAATATCAAATTAAAAACTTATTCAATCCTCACGCTATCTCTAAACCAGGCCTGCATGACATACGGCCCGCGGGCCACATGTGGCCCGCCAGATTCCACTGTGCGGCCCGCAAAGTAACGAAATATTATTTATTCTTATTATTTGTCTTAAAAGCTTTCCCCCACCCCCCGTCCTATTTTCTTTTGGCCCGCACAAGCTTATGGCCCGCACAAGCTTATGGCCCGCCTTACATTTTGAGTTGTGCGGGCCTGCTCCAAACAATGACACTCTCACTTAAGAACACACTGGAGCAGTCTGAGTAGTCATGAAGTGTTAGGTCAGAGGCATGAACACACTGGAGCAGTCTGAGTAGTCATGAAGTGTTAGGTCAGAGGCAAGAACACACTGGAGCAGTCTGAGTAGTCATGAAGTGTTAGGTCAGAGGCAAGAACACACTGGAGCAGTCTGAGTAGTCATGGAGTGTTAGGTCAGAGGCAAGAACACACTGGAGCAGTCTGAGTAGTCATGAAGTGTTAGGTCAGAGGCATGAACACACTGGAGCAGTCTGAGTAGTCACGGAGTGTTAGGTCAGAGGCAAGAACACACTGGAGCAGTCTGAGTAGTCATGGAGTGTTAGGTCAGAGGCAAGAACACACTGGAGCAGTCTGAGTAGTCATAAAGTGTTAGGTCAGAGGCAAGAACACACTGGAGCAGTCTGAGTAGTCATAAAGTGTTAGGTCAGAGGCATGAACACACTGGAGCAGTCTGAGTAGTCATAAAGTGTTAGGTCAGAGGCATGAACACACTGGAGCAGTCTGAGTAGTCATAAAGTGTTAGGTCAGAGGCATGAACACACTGGAGCAGTCTGAGTAGTCATAAAGTGTTAGGTCAGAGGCATGAACACACTGGAGCAGTCTGAGTAGTCGTGGAGTGTTAGGTCAGAGGCATGATTCAGAATGTCCTAGTTACTAATTTTTCTTTTCTTTATATATATTTATGTATTTCTTTGGTGTTCCCAATAAAAGCTTTGTTGTCAGACAAAAAAATTCAGCACTCAGCAAAGTTTATCAATAAACGTCCATAATGTTATCAAAGAGATGCACATTTTTAATAAATTGGTTCCCCGTGTCATTTTTTGTTTCAAATTTAATTTGCTGTGTTGCACACTTCAGCCACGTTAGTTGTAGAAATGACTTCAGCAAAATCATATTCTTCAATTCGTTAAATTTATTTCCCGCGAACAGAATATGAAACATTTTATTTAGATTCAAAATGACGCCCGCCCCCACCCTTTTTTCCCTTTTAGACTCTGGCGCCCCAGGTAGTTGCCTGCTTGGGTTATACCAAAGCCCGGCTCTGAATTTATTTGTATGTGTGTGTATGTATGTATTAGTATTTGTGTGGGGAGATGGGTGAGTGTGTGTGTGTGTGTTAACATTCTAACTTATATGTTCTCCTTCCCGACTAAAGACCGTTTACACATGTGAATAGACACACTACCTCATTGAAAACCTCTGAAAGCTTACATGAAGGATAAAGAGGTGTCTTATGGATTTGTGCAAATTTGTTTTCTTAAACAAAAAACCAGGAAATGGATGAATCTGCGCGACTCTAGCTTACACCGTATGACAGAATACCGTCTGAAAGCTGGTTTGTCATTTCTCCTTGAATGACCTCATTCTATTGAGATGAACGGATCGCTGCTCAGCTTAAAGGCATTTCAACTTCTGCTTGTCAAATAATAACCAGCTCAAAAGCAATGGCTTAACCGTAATAGAAAAATTTGTAAAGTCTTTATCTCGCGCTTTCCGATCAAAATGTCTTACTGTCAACTCCTACAGTCTTCTTGGATTGATTACATTCGTCAAGTTCTTTTCACCCGTTGAAGCGTCGTACTATTCCTACTATCATTGAACAAACTCAACTCCTTTTCATAATAACTATAACTTTAATGTCTAAGTAAATCTAATACACACAACACGTGAATATAGCGCAGCTCGCTATCAGACCTAAATAATAAACATCCTATCACTTCAAAGTTCCACTCAAGACTGCCGCACGACTAAAACATACGTCACAACACTGCATAGACAATACGTCACGAATCAGCATAAAAATACGTCATAGAGATAATGGCGGGAAGAGCGTTCACTAACTATAAGATTCAAGCGCGGGAAAAGCGTTCAACAGCTAATGAACATAATATTGAGTCGCAACAATTACTAATGAACGCTCATACTCGACATACTCTTCCATTTCAGATTTAACTCAGGGAGTTAAATCGTCACCAGACACACAAAATTTACATGAATTACATCAAGAAGAACCCTTCAGCCATTTGAATGGTCCTTATCAAAAAACATTATTTAGGTATCACTGAAAATCAAACAGATTTATGATATACTGCAATAAAATAAACAATCCTTCGTACATAATTTTAAATGCAATTCAAGAGTTAAAAATTCATGTACGACAATA